ACAGACCCATTGAGTGACTTGCTTCATCGGACAACTAACCCCATTTATAGGGTGACATTGATTTGGGGCTTAGGAAGTCTCAACCAAATGAGGAACAAACTAGTAAAAAAGATGTAGTGAGGGTGACAGTGTGCTACACATCGCCTTTACAGGGTACGGTTTTAATAGCATGGAGTTTGAAATGTGGTATGTATTGATATATGTCAGTTGCTACAAATTTTGGATCTGTGAAAGCTCATGGTGGGGATTTCTAGATTTATTGAGACGTTTCTACAACTGAGGAAATGTGGCAGATGGTGCTTCCTGCGGCATTGTTTTCTCCAGTTTCCTACTAATTTAGCACGAAGACACCTCCAGCAAAGCCTCTTCTAAAAACACGTCCACACTGTAAACAGAGCGCTGACGTGGCTGGGTAATTGGTGAGACAATGTTGAACTTTGCTTTTTACATGTCCACATTATTTAATTTTATTTTAAAATGTGTAGTATTGTTGTGATTATATTAAAACAAGCCACCAAAACAATCATCTAAATCAGCGTGTGGTGAGCAGTCAACCCAACCCTCCCTTTGCAGTGTGCGGCAGTGTTCTCCACTGCATCGCAAGTCCTTCTGGTGGCCAGTGGGAGGCAGGAGGGAATCTGAGCCCAGCTATTTACAAGCAAGTCCTATTTCCTCCACTTTTCTTTCTCCAGGATTGTGCAGGAAAATAGGCTGGAATCCGACGGTTCTAAAAGCTGGCATCTCAGCCTGCAGTTGATCTTACTGGCCACCAGGTGACGCCTGTGTGCCTCTACTGGGAAAGATTTGAGTAACAATTTTTAGAAATTTGGGACAATTGACAAGTCATGAGATGAACTCATAGAGAAAGGGAGTCTAGGTGTTTCTGGACACATTTTTATGAACAGATCAGAATCTAAGTTTCTAAAGGGCTGATACTTTTATTTCAAATACCTCTCCGTGTTGGGCACAAGGTAAATGCTAATAAATACTTTTGGAACCAAAGATCTGTGAAATTAGTCCTGTCTTTTATGTAAAGAGATCTAGAGTTTCTCCATTTGGCATTCTTAATTGTCATATGTTATCAACAATATGATGTAGAAGTAGCATAAGAATCTGTAAAATTAAGAATGAAAATCGTGCTAGCCAGGTAGCTCAGTTGGGTAGGGCATTGTACCAGGGTACGGGCACATACAGGTAGCAACCAATGAATGCCTGAATGGGTGGAACAACAAATCGAGGTTTCTCTCTCTCTCTCAAATCAATGAATTTTTAAAAAGAATGAAAATAACCTACGGACAGACTGCATTGTCCCAGTAAATACCTGGATACCTTTCCCTTCATGAAATTTGTTTCCCTGCAGACCCTACTGAGCTCTTAGTTTTGAAAAGTGAACAAATTGGTGGTAACATGAAATTATCTGCTCATATTTGTCTCGATAGGTGGTCATTCTATAGGTATTTATTGAGTAACTGTTATGCATATGAGGTGCTAGAATCATTCCAATGCTTTGACTTGGGGTGAGAGAATGGCCTTTACGTGTCTTGCATTTACCAGCTGGTTTACATGGATTTATGAATGTGCCTGAAGTAAAAGGTGTAACTATTTTGAGTCTGATCTGCTGATTTGTCCCTTTCCTCATTTCTGGCAACTTTATTTCTACTTACAAATCCTCCAACTCTAGAATTAATTATATCAGATGAGTTACTAGAATCAATTTTAACCAGAAAATGAGTGTTCAACCAGGTCCAGTCCCACTTGCACATGGCCTTTGCATCACAATCCTTGTGTCAGCCTGAAATGAACGCTATGCTGGTTTTCCCAGGCTGCCCCCCTTCAAACGGGGTGGCTTTAAACAGTCTACATGCATTCTCTCACAGTTCTGGAGACAAGAAGCCCCAAATCAGGATGTCACCAAGGTCATGCCCCCTCCAAAACCTTTAGGGGAGGGTTCTCTCTCGCCTCTTCCAGCTTCTGATACCCTCAGGCATTCGTTGGCGTGTGGACATATCACTCAAATCTCTGCCTCCATGGCCACATGGGCTGTCTTCGGAGTCTTTGTGCTTCACATAGCATTCTGCTCTCTGTGTCTCTCCTCCTCCTCTTAGAAAAACATCAGTCATATTGGACTAAGGACTCACTTTACTCCAGTATGTCCTCATCTTAATTACATCTGCACACGGGACCCTATTCCCAAATAAAGTCACAGTCTGAGGTTCCAACAGTTTAAACTTCAACATGTTTGGCGGGGGGAAGGGGGACACAATTCAACCCATAAATTACTTAACTACATAGTGTTTCAGTTTCCTCATCTGGACAAAAATACCTACTTTATGGGATTTTCTGAGAATTAAATGTGGTGCTTACCACATTTTGAAATTAAATCTATATTCTTTTCACTACCTTAAGTTGTGACAAAAAGCTTAAGGATACATTTATGTTGGTGACCAACCAAAAGCTATTTGGAGACAGGTATGCAAGAGAGCTCATAGAACTACTAGTAAGCTGGGTCATAAATGTCTTCTCTATTTAAACATATATATAGTGTCACCCAAAAGTGTATACACACTTTAACAGCTGATAGCTCAAATTTGAAAATTAAGTGTATTTTAATAAACAGTCTTTATAATTATTCAACGTGTGTATACATTTTGGGGTGACACCCTATATATTAAACACTATTTAAATGTTGGCATTTAGACATTGGCTTAGGTCTTAGGAAGAAAAGTCATGTGATCCAGCCAGTAACCTCATTGCAGAGCAATGCCAGTCAACTGAGTTATTGCTGTTTGTCCCTGGTCCACCTGGGTAAGTTTGCCTTATTGTTTCCCTTTTGATAGAGGAAGTTAGCCCCTAAGAAAGCTTATTTTTAGTCCTTGAGCTCTGGGAAAATTACTTGTTACTTCTCTTCCTTTTTTAAACTTCTATTACATGGACGTTAAAACTTTGTCTTCCATGTCCGTTTTTCCCTCCTATTTTGACTGCATTGATTTCTGCACTTTTCAGGAAAGCGCCCTGACTCGACTCTCCACCTCATTTATTCTTTAATTCATCCTGCGTAGCTCATCTACTTGCTTTTTATGATTCACTCATTGAATGCTTCTATGGTGTCAGGGACTATGTGAAAAGATTTGAATAACCAGATCGTTTTGGAATTGCACATTCTCAAACCTAAGGATATTGAGTTTCTGTGAAGCTATGTTCTCCTTTGGTCTCCTGTATCAGCTGTTTCCATATCTCATAAGTTCCTCACAGCACTGGCCAACTGACAGACTTCCGGTTTCACAATGCCATCAGACTTCATGTTCATTACTGTCCCTTTTTTCTATTTGGGAGGAAGGGAAGGCAAAGGTATTTGCAGTCTAATCATCCTCATCCAATTTCCCTTCTTAACTGGCATTTATTTCAATTCTGCTCAGTGGTCAGCACATGTCTTAGAGCTCAAATCTGTCTAAATGCTGGACACTGGCCCTAGCATTTGGGAGAGGGTTTTTGTATTTAATTCAGTTATCCTGTGAGTGCCAGAAGCAGAGAAGAAGGAAAATGCTATGGAGTTCAGAGTTCCCGCTGAGTGAAGGCCTCCCCGCTGGACCTTGGAGAGCAGGAAGAACTGGTGTAAAGACGGGTGTAAAGGACACAAGGGCAGCAACTAGCTACTTTGGCTTCAAATGTCAAACTCATCATAGAACTTAGTCACTTAACGTGATAAGGAGGGAAAGTGTCAGATTCCTTTGCTCTTTCTGTAAGGATACTTTTAAGAATATATTTATTGATTTCAGAGAGGAAGGAAGAAGGAGAGATAGAAACATTAATATTGAGAGATAATCATTGATTGCCTGCCTCTTGCATGTCCCATGCTGGGGATCGAGGCCACAACCTGGACATGTACCCTGACCGGAATCGAACTGTGACCTCCTGGTTCATTGGTCAATGCTCAACCACTGAACCATGGCTGTAAGGATATTTTTTGTTTAAATCTTTAGACAGCAACTATCAGAATTTATCTATCACAAAATTAAGGTCAGATGATAAATAAAACCCATGGAATTCCTATGAGTACATGTGTATAGAGACAAATTAATGCCCATTTGTGTTGGTGTGTGCTCACACGTGTGCACTTCAGGCACACGTTACAAATGTAGATTCAAGACCATTAACTTGTACTGCCACCTGATACATATTTGAACTATACAGGTAAACTCTGCACTTCTACTACCCAGACACCATTTGATGGCACTTAATAGTTTATTACAAGGAAGTGTAACCTAACACTTCAGAAACATATTGAGAAGGTGCTTTTGGGAAATGGCCCATTCTTTAGACAATATTTTCTGCAGAACTAATGAACATTCTCAATCAGCATAATTGAGGGGCAGCGGGTGGTCCTCAAGGCAGTCATTTCTGAGCATATTTTTTATATCAACATTCAATATTAAAAGATGTTTGGAAAATCTTAGCTGGGAAAGTGGGGGCCAAAATGGTCAAGTCCATTTAACCAAGAGAAGCCCCAAATGGGTAATATGTATTTATCCTCATCCTAAAGGGATGTGGATTTTTAAAAGGTTGAAAAATTGTGCTTTAGAGAATGGTTCTAGGGCAGTGATGGCGAACCTATGTCACCTCTGACACGCGAACTCATTTTTTTGGTTGATTTTTCTTTGTTAAATGACATTTAAATATATAAAATAAATATCAAAAATATGTTTTTGTTTTACTATGGTTGCAAATATCAAAAAATTTCTATATGTGACACAGCACCAGAGTTAAGGTAGGGTTTTTCAAAATGCTGACACGCCGAGCTCAAAAGGTTCGCCATCACTGTTCTAGGGCCTTAAGCTTCCTTAAGTCACTGCATTGTTTGGTGAAAATTTGACCAAGAAAAGTACTTTGAAAGCTAGTGTTAATGTCTCATGGCACAAACAGTGAGCAAAACCCAACGGTGCCTTCACTCTGTAGTTTGATTCCCCCACTGTTTTTTACAATGACCTAAAATTAAGAAAAAATTGTTATGAATTTAGCTTTTATTCAAAATTAAATAAGCAAAAGCAAGTTTTTCTGAAATTTTTACAAATTACTTACATAAAAGAAAGTTAATAAGGACAGTCCTAAGTTTGCAACAAATAATTACAAAAGTGTCTAGGGCAGCATGAGTATAAACCACGTCACAGCATGGTGCTCTAATTGTCAGATGAGTAAGGCATAACTAACATTTGCACCGAGACCAGAATTAGAAAACAAAACAGACTGTAAAAGCTTAGTTCTACATTAAGCTCCTTCTCTTCCCTCAGGTCCTTAATGGGTTTGAACTATGTCATTGTTTTACACAAACACATCATGTCAAACTATAAATTACATAGATGGGCAGTTAATGAGAAAAGCCCCCTAAAAGGTACAAACTAACTGGTACTGAATTGAGTTCTCCATTTGCCTTTATGTACAATTAAATGTAAACCATATTTTCACAGTTTTGAGTGTTTTGTGAATAGATGCACAGTACCATGTCAGGTTTGCAATTGTTCCTGAAAACTGGCTCTAGGTTCTGCACCCCCGTCGGCCACCGGGGTGCACGTATTTACATAAATAGGAAAGTATCATAGTCAATGGTCAAGACAGTTCAGCAAGAGCAGGATTTCCAGCAGAGCGATACGCGATACCACAGTTTACACACCTGTGCAAACAGAAGCATTCAGACAGAAAAATCGGAGGCAAATGCAATTCGCAAAAACTCGTATCGCTACTGTTGTAAACTTAGGCAGTAAATGACCCTCGGTAAGCTCTGCTCTCTATGGCTTTTTTTTTTCTTTTAAAATCTTAAAGCCAGAGAAAATGCACACATACTACCCACACGCTCGCGCACACACACTCCACACACATACAAAGTTCTCATTTCATTTTAGAATACGGTACATAGTGCAACTTCATCACAATGTAGAGGTTTAACACACATTTGCTGTGTGTTTTCCTGTGCAAGTTCTTAGTGGTCTAAATCCTAGTTGAGGGTATTCATTTGCAGAACCACATGATTCTGGAGGTTGAGGAAATAAAAAAAAAAACACAAGAGTTTCCATACATTTTTCAAACCAGCACTGGAGGTGCAAAGGCAGCAGACAACCTGGCCATCAACAGAGCCAGGTTAGGGTAACTTTAAAGGAAGATCCAAGCAGTTAGTTACTTAGATTGGTCTCTAGAAAAATAGGTCAGGATATGCTGTATCTTTGTCAACCGTTCCTTCAAAGACTTCATTGACAAAACTGACAGCTGGTATCGGGGGTCCACAGGGAGAACTGCAAGAAGCCACCAACACCAGGCAGGTCCATTAGGAGTCGCCTAAAAAAATAAGCAACATTTATAGGATTAATTAAACAAGTGTCCATGTGATAACAACAGTAACAAACCACCAACAAGCTAGTCTGACTAAGCATTTCTCCCTATCAAGTCCCATCTCAAATTCTTTAAACAATCATGCAAGGAAGGCTATTACTATACCCATAAAAAATGGGAAAACTGGAGCTCAGAAGTGCAATATAACTTGTCCAAGCTCTCTCAGCTCACATGTGGCAGAGCCAACATCCAAACCCAGACCTGATTCCACAGCCCACACTCTTTCCTTGCAGGAACTGCTTCGAGCAGGGTTTCCTCAAGTTCAGGTGACTGGCACTGGGGGCCAGATGATTGTTTGTTATGAGAACCGTCCTGGGCACCATGGCCTGCTGACTCAGGTGACTGGCACTGGGGGCCAGATGATTGTTATGAGAACCGTCCTGGGCACCATGGCCTGCTGAGCAGCACCCCTGCCTCTGTCAGCAGCACCTCCCTAGTTGTGACATAAAGTTGTCTCCAGATATTCCCAAATGTCCCACGGGGGCAAAACTGTCCCTACTTGAGAAATGCTTTCTTAACATGCATATTTAAAACTTTTTTAAAAATATGTTTTTATTGATTTCGGAGAGGAAGGAAGAGAGAGAGATTGAAACATCAATGATGGGAGAGAATCACTGATCGGCCGCCTCTTGCACGCCCCCTACTGGGGATGGAGCCCGCAACTCAGGCCTGTGCCCTTGACCAGAATTGAGCCCGGGACCCTTCAGCCCACAGGCCAACACTCTATCCACTGAGCCAAACCGCTAGGGCTAAAACACTTTTTTTAAAGTTAGTTGGTATTCTGAAATATCTTCAAAGAATTGTGGACTCCTGGGAAAGCTAGAATCCCCCTGATGTTATAAGGGCTGACTACTGGCTATTGAAAAACAGGAACTTATACAAAAGAATTGTTAAGCCACCTTTACTACAATTGTACTGCTTCTTATTGGACCTAAAAGTTCAGAATGACAAAAGGAGCTATATCAGTGTTGGTCTCAATGCACTCTTAGACTCAAACTAGATTTCTATATTTATGTATTGTCTGTGCTCTACTCAGCACCACGACCACCTCCTTCTGCATAATCAGAGACATCAGAAAACTACATTCCCCAGAACCCCTTTCCCCATATGGTTCCAGGTTAGACTGGCCAATGAGAGGCACTCCTATGTGAGATGTGTAAGTTGGAAAAGAGGAAGCCACTACCCTCTGGAGATTGTTGCCAAGTGTGGGCAGATGTGAGATTTACAGAAGCTTCCAGAGAACTCCTGAAAACCACCTGCTCTGCGGCTACAGCTGACAGAGCAACACCGGGGCAGGCCCAGGTCTGTGGCGGCAGATTCTCTGAGCACTGACGATGTCCCCGATCTTCTCCAAGCTGGGCGTTAGATCTACATCCTAAAGAAACCCTTCATTCCAGGAGCAGACTGAGGGGCTCTTCTTTTCCTCACTGAATCCTGCCTCATACAGACTAACAGACGGCAGAGGCAGAGGATAGGATAATAATGGGGGAGGGTGGTAAAGGCCACGGGAAAGCAATGCTGAATTTTTCTACAAGTTGGGTTTGTTAACACTTAAAGTTTATTAATTTTGTGCTTATCAAAAGCGTTTCTATTAAATTTAATCAGATTTAGGTGGACAGGATAAAACAAACATGCTAGACACAGAGTAAGTGCTCAATTACAAGATGGTCTAATGCTGAAATTTCGAGTTCAGGTGAAGGACTCAGCTGGGATTCAGACAGACTTGCACTGACCTCTGAGCACTGGCCTGAGAGGCAGTCTGCGTCACAGCGGGATCTGTTCTCTCTCCATCTTCTATTTATTTATAGTCATTCCTTTATGAAATCTATCACCTTCTGACCACAAACATTTTCTTCTATGCAATTCAAAACGCTTGTGCCTAAAAGTCAGTGCTTTGATGCATCTAAGCTCAGACTTCCCAGGCTGGGGACCCTCCTTTCTTGCCTCTCACAGTGCCTACTGCACAGATCGCTTGCCCAGAGTGCCTGCTACACATTAATTAGATTAAGCTTAAAAGCAAACCCTAAGTACCTGAGCTAGACCATAAGGACAGCAGTTTCCAAGGAGAGTAGCATTAAACATGAAGAGACAGAAATGGATTTAATTGCCAGGCTGAAAGTTGGGAATAAAAGGTGGTGAGAAAAAAATTTTCAAAGTACAGAAAATGATACACTACATCTCTTAACTGTCCCAAAACGACGGCTGACTGGCTCGAGGTGCAGTTGTCACAATTTACCCGATGGTACCACATCCCATTTTGGATGTCTTATTTCTCCTTCTGAAAAGGGCCCCTCAGTTAAGGGTTCGACCTTTCCTGGCCCTCACTCACTCCTACGGGCATTGCAGCGACACCTACACACCCCCTCCCACTTCAAATGCAGCGGGTACCACTGTGCTAGGGAATACAGGCACGATTCCAAAGACGGGGACAAAGGAGATGCAATGTAAACAGGACAACAACAGCAAAACCTTAAAAATCTACTCACTTGGGTTTATTTTAAAAAGTGAGACTTTTGTAAACAACATCAAAGCCATCTTACCTGAAGGTTTTCCTCCCTCCTGGGCATTGAGCCAAAGTGCTGAAGAATTTGGCTTCGAAATCTGTCTCTTAAATTCTGAAACCAGCTGCAGGCTTGAGAGTAGACCAAATTATGAAGCTGCCTGAGACTCTCTAACTCATCTTCATTCTCCACCTAGAAATACAACAGTTAGTAAGACCTCTGTGTCTAATATCACCAACCCCACAGACATGGGAAAAAAATCGAAAAATAGGGACTACCTATTTCAGTGCTGGATCATAAGAGTATTATTCTTATACAATATGTATCAAATATTTCTGCCTCACATAATACAGTACTATAGGACCCTCCTAACAGCCCCCAATCAGGAGGAGGGGTAAGACTGCGAGGGAGTTCTTTGTCTTTATGGATCAGTGGTTTTTGAAAACAGTGGAATGAAAAGAGCAGTTCAGCTACTACAATAAAAGGAAAGACAGGGAAGGGGACTAAAGTGCAGGTGACAGGATAGAAAGCGGAACAGGATTTTCCACCACAGAACGGGGTCAAAAAACAAACAAAAAATTTTAGAAAATCACTTAGCATATAAAAAGGTAGAGAATAATTTAAGCAGTGATGAACGTCTCCTGCTGTAAAGGCCCAAGGCTGTGGCCACCTCCATCATCCCTCCGGACACCCTGCAGACTGCTGGATCATGGCAGCACCAATTAAATGCTCAGCCTTGCAGCCTGCGATCAAGTGGTCTCACGAATGCAGGTGGAAGATGGAGCATTAACTCACCCACCTCACACTGGCTGCCTTAATGCACACTGCTCTCCCACTCACTGCCTGTCAGGGAGCGCTCTAGACCGTACACATGGACACATCTCAGCAAATACCAGGCTTGACTCAGCCTTTCACACTCAAGGATGACTCAAGAGAAAAACGACAAAAGAAATCTAAAAACATTCTGAGCTATAAAAGGTGAGTCTACAGCACAAAAGAGACAAAAAAACAAACATGCTTTTTATTTTTTAGAGATCCGAAATGAAACACAAAACAAGTTTAAAAGGCATCTACTTTTGCACAACAATGAGAATACATTTAATGCCACTAAACTGTACACTTAAAAAAGGTCAACATTCAACCCTGTTAAGTGCCTGCCTTGCCAATACACACACACACACACACACACACACACACACACACACACACACACATTCTGGGTGCTGTGCTGGCTGCTGAGCCTGGAGAAACAAAGAGTATCTAGGTCTGGTCTCCCAGGTTCTCTGGGAACTCACAATGATTAAGAACAAGATAAGAAAAAGGTAAGTCAAAACTAATTTGCATAAGTATTGGTGAGGGTCTCTGAGAGGAAGAACTGTTTTATCTGCCCGGATGCCTGTACCATGCCCAAGACAGAGTACACCAACGTGTGCTGGAAAACAACACTGTGTAATACCTTAACATCTTCCAGATATTCAATGTCTGCAGTGCAATATCCATCTTTCATTCCTCTTTTTAAAACCTTAAACCGCTTTCCTCCAACAGTATCCACCACAGACCTTCCATCAGGTAAGAAATGTACATTTCTAATTTGTAACATACAACCATAATCTGCAAAACTAAAAGAAAAATTCTAATTAACATCAAAGTTTAAGCAACAAGCACGCACGTTCTCAACAATATTCAAGGAAAAGTTCCAAGGTAAATAAAAATATTTAAAAGAACACAAAAAGCATACCCATTCTGCTTGTCACTGACACACATCCCAAACTGTTTCGTTCCAGTTTGTATGCTTCTTCGAATCATCAATCTATATCTTGGCTCAAATACATGAAGAGGGCAAGGCACAGTGGGGTAGGCTATAGTGCAAACAAATATTGGGACATTCTTGGTCAAGCTGAAGAAGAGAAAAGTATCATTATTATATGTCAGAATTTATAACCAAAATGAGTAAAACTTGCAACAGTAATAAATTCATATCAAAAAATAAAAAGAAAGCAGACCCAAATAAGGTAACTTTTATTCTTGGCAAGAACAACAATCAGTACACTCACGTGGATACGTCAGCACTAAAACAACGTTTGTGATCCTCTTATGCACACAAGTCAAGCAAGTCAACCTGCATTCGAGCTGCCATGTTATCATATAGAGCTAAGTTTCTTTATGAATCAAAAAGTAATGGACGAGAATTCTATTCTATATTTAAAATCTGTCTAAAATATCTGTAACATGACAGAGTTAATATCTTTTCTCCGTAAAACACTCTTAGTCACTCTTAGATAACAGTAAGAAAAAAAGAATTCCCAGAAAAGACAAAATGCAAATCATTAAAAATTCTTAGGCATTAAAAATATTTTCAAACTATCAAAATAGGTAATTCAAAAACATTTTTCCAGGTAATTAAAAAGATACATTTCCATTGCCAGATTTGCAGAAAATGAGAGGATGCAGGCAGCGCCCAGCTCTGACAGGGCTGGGGAAGCTGGCAGTGCAGGGGGCAGACTGGAACAGGACAGCCACGCTGAAGGACCATGTGGCAATCAATACACATCAAAAGCTTTTTTAAATGTCCACATCCTTTGAACCAACAGGCTCACTTTTCCCCACTATGTACTGAGCATGTTCAGTGTTAACACTCTGTACAGCAGCCACAACTTAGAAGCAAAAAGAAGATAATAAAATAAATCATGACATAGCCATCACATGGTATACATTTAAATGCCTATATTAATGAGAAAGAGGTTATGGAATTATATGAATAAAATAACCCCATCTATGTTTAAAATGTATTTATATATATTAAAACATAAAAGGATATATGCCAAAATGCCAAAGGAAGCTCCCTTTGAGTTGCCCATTATGGCTTTTTTCCCCCTACTCACTTATATTTTCTAATTTTTCTTAAAAAAGATCATAAGTTACAAAAATTAATATTTAATAAAAAAATGTTTAATGTACAAGTGCTAGTTACTCTACTTTTAAAACTGTGTTTTACCATCATTGTACACTCTCCTTATGAACCTGAGAACTTGGAAAAAACCCAACAGACCCATTAATTAGGAAAACTTGTAAGTCCAGAGGAGGACCCGTTCCTCAAGGACAACGGCCTCGTCAGTGAGCAGCAGGTGCCCTCAAGCTTCCCTCTGTCACCTCAGCTCCCCTCCCGTTACTACTGCTGGTCATTCACCGATTGCCCTGCTCTGCGGGGGGTCTGGTGTGGCACCGTTTTAAGATTTTAAAGTATATCTGCAGCTTTCTTATAGGCAGCTTCTTGCAGTGTTGATCAAAAAGCTTCATAATCTGCACTTCAGAATATTTTCTACCACAGAACCACACAATAAAATATCAGTTCCACGAGAAGACAAATCATACCGATTTCCATAAAGAAAAGATAGGAAGTCTCTTATTGAAGGCCACGGGCCCAATGAAGACATTTGGAGGGCACATACTAAAAAAGAAGAGTCCATGCCCTAACTGGTTTGGCTCAGTGAATAGAATGTTGGCCTGTGGACTGAAGGGTCCCAGGTTTGATTCCAGTCAAGGACACAAGCCTGGGTTGCGGGCTTGATCCCCATTAGGGCATGTGTAGGAGGCAGCAGATCAATGACTCTCTCATCATTGATGTTTCTATCTCTTCCGCTCCCCTCCTCTCTGAAATCAACCAATATATACCTATATTTTTTTTTTTAAAGACAGAATTTTTAAAAAAGAAAATGAAAGGAAAAGAGTTAAATTAAAAACGTATGAAAGAAATGTAGAGACTCCAATGACTGGTCAAAGAGGGAAAGACGTAGGTGAAGAAAAGTACAAGAAATAAAGGTTAAGAGCAACAAGACTAGGACCAGCCTCCCAGCCCCAGTCGGCCATGAAGTCCTCAATAATGGTCTCTCCCACCAGATCCCAAAGCTACCCCCAGGGCTTTCACTTTCCTGTTACTGACTCGATTCTACCTCAAGTCAATATTTTCATTAATTGAGAATCTGGCCCCTAAGTCACCTCCCTACCCTTTTCCAATTTCAGGACTCAACGCCCCACCTTCCAAACCTCTAATTGGCTAAACCCCCTGCCAATCCTGGCCATTTGTCTCCTACCTTCCTCCTACACTGCCTTGATACCTGAGGGTTGCTGTTCCCAGCAACCACCGTTACTAGATTCCACTGCCTGATGTCACTGTAGGAAAACCCTCCCCCACCTAAAATGCTGCTTAAATGAATCAATAATTCCCAGTAGAACATCTGGAAGTTACCAAATGAACTTTTAAAAAATTCTGTTTAGGACAGGGGATGCTGACCAATATTTGTTTGAAATATGCCTTTGACTATATGGGTTGAAATAAAGGCGGGATCCAGCTTGCCACGAGAAGGCTTCTCCTATTTTCAAGGGTAGTAGTTTGTAATTTGATTGTGTTTTTATGAGAAGAAACTTACTGTGAGAGTTCAGCAGTTTCTTCATCATATATTTTTTTTCTCTCAGACAGCTCATCAGGCAGATACTTCACTATTAATTCTTCCAACAGCTGTGTGACACAGTACCTCCTATCTGCTAGATACTAAAAGACAATATTATTTTACATTCCAATTCTTTTTTCCTACAGTATAAAACAGGCAAAACAATTTAGCTGATACAGTCAAGCCCTTATTACATATTTATACAGTCTACCTGAATTTACCGAATTAGTGAGGGGAACCTTACAATGGATGATGCTAAACAGGCCACCTGTCTGAGGCTTCGCTCAAGAGCATAAAGCTGCATGGTGGCAGCTTGAGCCACACCCTATGTAAGGACCATGTCTTGCTCTGATCACAGATCCTTTAGCAGCTGTCAGCCCTGCCCCTGCATCTCCCACACCGAGGGCCAATCTCCATCTGGCAGCTCATGGGTACCTGAAACTAGCATTTTGACTGAAAAACAAAAATAAGGTAAGGAATAAAGAAAATGGTGCATTTGCCTTATTTTTTAAAAAGCAAAAACTACACATACACCCTTCTTTGTTCCCTATTTCAGTAGCAGAGTTTACAGCAAATTTTTTCTTTCAGATTCTCCTTTCCCTGTCACCTTACTATACTCAGACCCTCGTCAAGAGGTTGCTTTTCCCAGATGACCCCCTGTATGTATAAAGGGGACATTTTATCACTGCCTTCAGACTCTGAGAAACCGCTCCTCATGCATTTGATGTCATTGTTCCAACTGCTAGAAGCTATCTCTTGCCTGTGAAAAGCCCATCTATCTTTTACGGTCTGGCTCCAATTTTACCTTTTTTATAAAGTCTTTCTAATTATTTTTCTGTCTCCCAAGAACCATAGAAAAGGCAGTTACCACACCCTACACTATATAACATGGACAGGAATACATCATGTCTCTGTAACTGAACTTAACACTGCACAGGGGAAGGGACCAGGTCAGAGTGTACGCACAGAACTTTGCGCAAAGCAAATGCTCAGTACAAATCTAATCTAATAAAAGACAGACATGCAAATTGACCGTACCTTTGCTACACCTTAAGCCACACTCCCAGCCAATCAGAGCAACTATATGCAAATTAACCCAACCAAGATGGCGGCCGGCAGCCACGGAGCTGGAGCAAGCAGGAGGCTTGGTTGCTCCAGTGATGGAGGAAGTCAGCTTCCTGCCGGCGAGGCCGGCTCTGAGCTCCACTGAAGGCAACAAAGTTTCAATTAAAGAAGGTAAATAAATCTCAGAATAAAAAAAAAAGAAAAAAAGGAGAGGCTGGGAGCTTCCGTCGCCTGGGGGCTTGGCCAGCCAGAAAACGGCCCTCAGCCCCTCACCCAGGCTGGCCAAACCTCCATCGGGTGAGGGACCCCACTGGGGGGGGGTGGGGGCTTGACCAGCCTGCAAACAGCCATCAGCCCCTTACCCAGGCTGGCCAGGCACCACAGTGGGGACCCCCACCCTGAAGGGGGTGTGACCAGCCTTCAAACACCCCTCACCCAGGCTGGCCAGGCACCCCAGCGGGACCCCCACCCTGATCCAGGACACCCTTCAGGGCAAACCAGCCGGCCCCCATCCATGCACCAGGCCTCTATTCTATATAATAAAAGGGTAATATTCAAACTGACCCTAACAGCAGAACGTCTGGGAATGACTGGTCACTATGACACACACTGACCACCAGGGGGCAGATGCTCAATGCAGGAGCTGCCCCCTGGTGGTCAGTGCGCTCCCACAGGGGGAGCTCTGCTCAGCCATAAGCCAGGCTGACGGCTGCCAGTACAGTGGTGGTGGTGGGAGCCTCTCCCGCCTCCTCAACAGCGCTGAGGATGTCTGACTGTAGCTTAGGCCTGCTCCCCACTGGCAAGTGGACATCCCCCGAGGGCTCCCAGGCTGCCAGAGCGATGTCTGATTGCCAGCTTAGGCCCAATCCCCGGGGAGCGGGCCTAAGCCAGCAGGTGATCATCCCCCGAGGGGTCCCAGACTGCGAGTGGGCACAGGCCTGGCTGAGGGACGCCCCCCCCCCTCCGAGTGTACAAATTTTTGTGCACCGGGCCTCTAGTTTATTTAATAAAAGTAATGAGAAAAAACTCTTAGGAGACCACGAGGAGGTAAGATAAAGAGAGGTCATCCTTTAATCTGTAGATCCAGCATAAATAAAGGTTTTGTCGTTATCCAATAAAAAATAGAGTAGTGCCCGGCTGGCGTGGCTCAGTGCTTGAATGTCAACCTATGAACCAGGAAGTCACAGTTCGATTTCCAGTCAGGGCACATGCCCAGTTGTGGGCTCAATCCCTAGTATGGGGTGTGCAGAAGGCAGCCGATCAATGATTCTCTCTCATCATTGATGTTTCTCTCTCTCCCTCTCCCTTTCTCTCTGAAATCATTAATAAATACATATATACATACACACTAGAGGCCCGATGCACGAAGATTCGTGCAAGAATGGGCCTTCCTTTCCCTGGCTGCCGGCACCGCCTTCGCTCCAGCCAGAGCTGCCTTTCTGCCTTCGCTCAGGCCCGGAGCGGCTGGGGCAGTGTGGAACGCCTGTGTCGTCACTATGGAGACGATGCAAGCATCCTGCCCTGCCCCTGGTCGCTCAGTGCCTGTGTATGCAAATTAACCTGCCATCTTTGTTGGGTTAATTTGCATACTCACTCCTGATTGGCTGGTGGGCATCACAGATGCAAAATGGTCAATTTGCATCTTTCTCTTTTATTAGTGTAGATATATATATTTTAATAGAGTAGTAAATATGAGAATTTAGAAGAAGGGTAGTAGTGGTTTTCAAATCTTAGCATGAATCAGGGCTTGTTAAAATGAAGACTGCTGCGCCCCACCAGAGTTTCTGATTTAGTGGCTCTGGAGTGGGGTCTAGGTGATCGGATGCTGCTGGTCAGGGGAACACACTTTGAGAACCACCGAAGAGTGGTACTCTTGAGCAGATAATGTAGATACAGATAACTGATGAGTTTACTGTAAAATTAATCAAATTATAGGCATTAATAAAGGCAATGTTATTACCATCTTTCTATTAAATTAATAAAGATGTTTTAAAATTTAATACTCATGTATTAAATTTGGGAAAATATGGCCTCTCTTACATGCCTGATAGGAATCTAAATTTGTACATTTCTAGGGACCTACATAATTTGGCACTTGGTTTTAAGAGTCTTTTAAAAATAAGATGTTTAAGCTAATAATTTACCCTAAGGAAAGAGTAAAGACATAACACATGATACATAAAAAAAGAGAAAACAAAGCAATTTACAAATCCAACAATAGGGAAATGTCAAGGCATTATATTATTATACTGCTATAAAATGTATTCAAATGAAAAAATGAGCAAAATAAAATCACAAGTAGGAAAGACGCAAAACTATGGAGCATATCAATTTAATTCTTTAAAATATTTATTTAGCTTATGCAAATTATGTCACACAAGGTATTTTCAAAGTCAGGACACAAAATAAAGTTATTTTTAAATAGTATGCTAGTTATATTTTTAAATATGCTTATTTTCTTTCAAACGCCATTTTTTTAGGGTGAGGTATCTAAATTTAAAGCTACATACCTAATTATTAATCTAAAATAAAGCATAATAAATATATTAGAGCCCTGGCCAATGTGGCTCAGTTGGTAGGAGCATTGTCCCATACACAGAGAGGTGGCAGGTTCAATTCCCAGTCAGGGCACATACTTAGGTTGCAGGTTCAATCCCAGGTCGGGGCACATGCAGGAGGCAACCAATCGATGTTTCTTTCTCTCTTTCTCTCTCTCTCTCTCTCTCTCTCTCTCTCTCTCCCCCCCCCTTCTTGCTCTAAAATCAATAAAAATATAAAATAAAAATATATTACAGAGTACTAAAAACTCTGGGAAATATAAATATGCTTATATTTAGAGTACTTCACCTGAAAACAGTATTTAGTTGAACATGCAATTAACAAATTCTTTAAGAATAAGTTTATCTTGTTTCTTGACTTTGTGAACGTTCTGTACGTGGTTTTGTTTTTTACATATCAGCTTGTTCTATAAGACACATATCAAACATAATGCACATATAATATTATGATACCTACACAGGGCTATATTTTGTATATAGGAAATAGCTATGTATGTTCAATAGCAAAATGTTTTATCACTTTCTTATTCATATCTGGAAGACACTTTTTCTTTAAACAACCCTGCCGACCACCAGAGACGGGATCGCTCTCCCCTGATCAATGCTACCAGCACAGCTGGAGTGCAGAATTCCAAGGCTTTGGCCTCACTGAGGGGGTCTCCAGCTGCCTTGCACGACTGAGCAGGTGTTGTCCTCCCACCTGGGATCTGCTGCTTTCCTCACACAGGCTATTGGCACTGACCACTGACTCTACAAGAAGCGCTGGGGAAGATGTGCCTCCCCTCCTTCCCAGCCTCCTCCTTCTAGAGCTGTCCTGCCCAACATGGTGGCCACCAGTCACATGTGCCTGCTTAAATGCACATGGGTTAAAAATACAATTCCTCCGTCACATTAACTGCATTTCAAGTGCTTAATATTCACATGTGGCTGGTAGCGACATGTTGGATAGCACAGAAATAGAGCATCTCCATCAATGCACAAAGTCTACTGAACAGAGCTGTTCCAGACGTTAATGGGACTGAAGAAGGCCAGAAATCCAGCCTTGTATTGGGGGTTTCCTCAATATTGTCATCAGTAATATTGAACCAATTCCTGACCTGGTACTTGACCATACACCCTCTTTGCTAAAAACATTAAGTTCCGGGGGCTTGGTCTCCAGGACCTCTCTGCTTTCCCTGCCCTCTCTAACCTCGCCTTCTCCAACACTAACATGTGGTCCTGAGGCATCATCCTTTGCAGTCACTCAGCATATATAATGTAATTCGTTCTGAACATCATAGTCACTGTTTCTATGACTGATCAGAAATAAAACCATGTTGCCAAACTTGAGACCAATAAACAGATAAAATGTTTACCTCTTTTAAGCTTTCTTTGCAAAGGGGACAATATGGTGTATGATCTAAACAACGCTCAAGACAGTTCTTACAGAATGAGTGTCCACAAGGGGTTGTTACTGGCTCGAAAAACAACCTGAAATCAACCAAAATGCATGAAGTATATATTAGTTTTCAGATTAAACTGTTTATTAGAAAAAATGGACAAACTATTAATAGAACCATAACACTAATCCCTATTTAGAGGAGGAAGGAGGGTCTGATGGGTAGAAGAGGAGGAAGGGGGCAGTGATTAATGCAATTACACAAAATGTTCCTGAAGAACTGTTTAAACGTTCTCTACCAACAGAGGTGCCCTGCCAAGCACCCAGAGCTGCACTGACAATACAAACACTCGCCCGTGGCGCTGACCACCTGAAATGTGGCCAGGCCACACTGAGATGCGTAGCAAATGTAAAATACACACCAGATTCCAAGACTTATGTAAAATATGTCATTCATAATCACTAAACAGCCTTCCTATAGATTATTTTCTTATCTCTTTGAAATTATTTTCTTAATAAGCTTATAAAAGGCATACTCTATAAAATTCATTAAAAGGAATAATCCAATAAATATTACAGTTAAATCCTAAAGAAATATTAGGCTTAATACCAAAGACAATACTCAGATAATACGGGAAAACTAATTTTACTTACAGTATGATTATTTCCTGAAACACATCTGAATTTCCTAGAAGTATTATTAGATATATAGGTACTTCAGAAACTGTCTGGTCTAATCCCCCCACCTCATAAAGAAAGAAACCTAGGCTCCGATTAGAGACTTGGTGGGAATACAGCCAGTTACCACCAGCCTCGTGGGGCCAGTTCCAGGTCTCCTGACTCTTCGGGCCCTGTTCCTTTGACGCCACACAACTCATGTAAGTGGAAAATGTTCTTTCCAAACCACCAGTCTTTCAGAATTCTAAGCATTCCACATAATGAAAATCCTTATCCAATGGTTCTTTAACGAGCCAGACACATACAATACAGAATTAGAATCCTTACCCAAATATAAAATCATGGATATTTCTAAGTTCTAACAATAATACGTACAACCTTTATAGAACTTCACAATTTTCCACGTACTTTTTATATTTAAGTCATTTGATTCTTATAACACTGTGAGAGAGGCTATGCAAACAATGACCCCACTTTCTAAATAAGGAAACCAGAGGTTCATATATTAAAGTTATTTGTCCAAAGTATGAAAGGTCCAGCTAGGAGTAAAATTAGCACATTTAGTTCACTTACATTATCTATTATTACAGAGTAGGTTATCTTTATCTACCCTGTATTTTATTTATGTTAATATAAAATATTCATCTTGTAAAAAAATTTTACATACCTCATGCAGAGAGAACACTCAAAATCTGAGACGTCTATTAATTCCTCTGGGATGTCACCATAAGTTAATGAAAACGTACAGACCTCATTGGGCGTTTCTATTTAAACAAAGAAACGACAGGGTTATTTTGGTGGGAAAGTTTAAAGGTTATTCTAAATAAATAAATGTTTTTTATGAGTGCAGTGAAATGTTTACCTCCTTGCTTTTTAAGCTTATTTCTTCCATCTTCATTGACAATCACATCCTGTTCTAAGAGAGATAGCTTTCTTTTCAGGAGAGCACCTTTTTCTTGAACAGAGAGCAAAGGTTCTGAGGACACGCGTTTTAAGCAATCCTCTCTGGTGGGCATTTCTGTGGAATTGATAGCCTGTGCTGACTGAGCACGGTTTAAGCTTCCTTTGACAGGTTCTGCCGGGGTCTCAGGTATTTCTTCATTCTACAAAAATACAATAACAAGAGTATCTGTATTTCTTCACTATCCTTACTGCTCTCACCAAGAATCAAACCGAAATGAAATTTCAATAATTTATAATGTCCACTTTACTGTTCATTTAACAGCACCAACTTATTAAAATATGTTTTTCTTTACTGACTTCAGAGAGAGAAAGAGGGAGAGAGAGAGATGGAAAACATCAATGATGAGAGAGAAATCATTGGTCAGCTGCCTTCTGCATACCCCCTACTGGAAATTGAGCCCATGACCCAGGCATGTGCCCTGACTGGGAGTCAAACCATGACTCCTGCCTGGTTCATGGGTCAATGTTCCACCACTGAGCCACACCCTGGCCAGGCCAATAGCACCAACTTTTAATTCTAAAACCCTGACAAGCAAATTATTTTTGGCACTACTTATATAACCCTAGACATCCAGTTAACCTGTATTATAATGAGGCTTAAGCAGTTATGCTAATACTAGTGGTCTGGTGCATGGATTCGTGTACATTGAAAGGAAATTAATTAGAAGAAATATTTTAATATTGCTATTCGCCCTTTCTCTATAATAAAAGTGTCAACCAAATTCATGATCAACAATGACAGATTGAAACACATGCGTGCGATTGGTGCCAGCAAGAGCTTTATATGTATCAGACATTCACAAGTCAATGTTTATTTTTAAGTTGCCAGTGCACGTCCTATGTACCGGACGGTCGGCTGGTCGGATGGTTGGATGTATGTATGGTTGTGCACTTAGCCTTTTATATATATAGATAATTGTTCCTACTCTGAGGAAACTAAAATAAATACAATGTTCCCCATTTTCCAAGAGACTAAAACATTTCTAACATTCAGGTGACCAAAATTGTGATTAATGAACAAGTCTTTTCACATTAAAGTTTTTAGTGTGAAATAAACGTTTATAGACAAAAAATGTACTAAGACAACATTAAGTAGCTTAAAAGTACCTAAACAGATTCTAGTACTGAAAGGAGGGAAGTGCAGATCTTAACTTGTAAAGAAGCGGATACACTAAACCCATGGTGATCTTTTCTCACTCTTTACCTGCTCTGAGCTGAGCTCACTGGCAGAGTGAAACTCTTCCATTACTGACGGAAAACCAAAAGGTTTGTTCTTAGTACATGGCAATGAACTCCAGGAAGAATCCTTCAGGCCTTCTTTTAAGCTTTCAGGTGATAATAAATCAAATAAAATCTGTAAGAGAAATATTAAAAAGTAATACAAATATAAAATATTTGGTTAAGGATAATTTAATATAAAGTTACCTAATATTTAAGAATTTTGAGAAAATTTGTAGCGGACATTATTTTTTAATGAGCAGCAAAAGAATAGATTAAGTAATAAGCAGAACTGCCAAATATTTTTAAAAGTCTTGCAAAACCAAAGTGTGCCTCAATGGGGAAAGAATCATCTCAAAGAAATGGCTCAAAAGGAAGACATGGGTGTGGTTCAACTGGATACCTGAGGAGGGGCCCAAGGTGAAGGCTGACTTTTTAATGTAAAAACTGTAAAAAGAGGAGCTCTTACGTAGAAAGTATTTACCTCTGAAGATCAGCAAATCCTGTCCTGTCAAAAAGTTCACAGTTCACCCCTGATGTATATTTTAAGGCTGGGCTTGGGGTGTTTATGTGAACTACAGAACTCTAAAATTCCATCTATTTATACTGAATTTACCTTCTTGCTGAACTAACCTGCTTGGGCAGTCACCATGCCAGCTTTTGGCTGGGAGTACTGAACAGCAGCTGCCCTGTAACAGCTGGGAGTTACAGCTGCAGGATGAAAATACTCGGGCACTTCTATCAGGAATACATGCAAAACTCTCAAAGAAGCAGAGGAGGTCAAGACAGGGGAAGAACCAGGCTCAAGGAAATGAGAGGGATTCAAATTTTTTTGTTTGTCAAATAAGCTGTATCTATATGTTCAGTAGAGCATTTCTTAAAGTCTAAATTTAGAGGTTTGATTATTTTTAGCTGTACTAGCTCTCAAATACACAAAAATCAGAATTTTTTTATGATCACTACAATGTAAATAAGAGGAAATATATACAATGTAAATAAAAGTGTGCATATCTGGTTGGTGCTCAAGCAATACTCCATTTAATAAACTTTTAAAAATCTGTATATTTCACATTTCCCTTGATTTAAAAACACGTAGTAAACACACAACTACTCTAGAACCCAGCCACTCCACTTCTAGTTGGTTACCAACGAGATGTAAAATATATGTCCACAAAATGACTGGTACAAGAATGTTCATAGCAGTGACTGGAAATAACCCAAATGAAAACCACTATTAACTGTGAACACCACAAATTGTGGTATGTTCATACAATGGAATGCCTGGTGAACAATAAAAACTGTTAAATTACTGGATGTATTTCAAAAATACTATGTTGGAGGGAAAAAAGTCAGACACAAAAGAGTACTACGATTCCGTGTATATGAAGTTCTAGAACAGGCAAAACTACTCTTATGGTGATAGAAATCTGAACAGTCGTTGCCTCTGGGAATCTACTGGAAAGAAGACAAAGTAATTTTCAAGGGTGATGAAGATATCTAGATTTTGATAGGGGTGCTGTTACATGAGTTTATAACTTCTCAAAACTCATGGAACTATATAATCCATGCATTTCAATATATGTAAATTATACCACAATTTTACAAGAAGCTTATTGGGGAAAAATATTTCAAAGGATCTGTTATTTTGCATTCACCTGACCTTATTAACCAACAAAGAAATATTTACAGATATATAAGGATATCTAATAGCGTGGAAAATACAAATTATAAGCCCTTACTGCAATCTCACCAGGAGGAAAGGCTAACAAATACAGATTTGTCAGAAAACACACAACAGTAAACATAAGACTCTGCCGAGGTGCTTCTTAAACTATGTCCCAGTTGCAGAGACTCTAACTCCAAAGGTGTGTGGTGGGGCCCAGGAATCTTTATGTTTACCATGCACCCAAGATTCTGACAAAAAGCCATTCTCTAAGAAACACAGCAAAGGGATTAAATAACGTAGCATGTTTTGAGGACATTGAGGAAAGAATCATGACTAGGCATTGAAATTGTATTAAGGTTGATTTCCCCCCCAAATTTTCAATGACTCTAGTCTTTCCAAATGCTCTGTGAATAAGTCCGACAACAGCTGAATGCCACTGTCATGCTAGTATAGGGAAACCTCTGAGTTTTGAAGAAGCCTCTTTAACTTGGTTTAACCCAATGTTTCCTAAAATCATGTGATCAGAGAACCTTCCCTTTTTCTTTTAATTAACACCTACTAACACAGTACAGAACAAACTTTCAAAGTGGAATATGGACTGCCGAGAAAAATCAGGAAAACAATTTGACTAGGGCAATACTACTGGCACCCGTGGAAAGTAAGCAAAGTTTAGACCTGAAATGAAAGGCAAAAGGCAGGCCAATAAAAATTCCTGAGCAGAAACATCATGACAACAATGTTTAATTAAGGATAACTCGTCTGGCTCGGATTAAACAGACTATTAGGGAACATCTAAATTTAACTAAGTAAAACGAATGCATTTAAATATCTGTGAATGAAATATTCTGATTTCAGTAAGAACCAATTCACTACGTATATGAACCTGAAAACCACCTGTCCAACTGCTACTAAATTTGACTTACAGATTCCTTATGTTCTTATCCCAGTTTTCTAATTAGGGTTTTTCAAAAGAACTGTGCCTTAGCCCTGCCTTAAACTATTAAAGTTGGTGAACCAATTACCTTTTCCACTTCCAGCTTTGCAGGTGCAAAGTCTTCATCAAGGGCTAAGCACTGCAGGAATAGTTGTAAGGCATCACCTAAAAAGCCAGCATCATGGAGGACTTTTCCTTTCCTGAAGTAGACCTTCAATAAAGCACATACGCACAACTTTTATTTGTAGAGTTGTGTTGTTTTTTAAAAATCAACATCAAGTAAAGGTGTGCTCGGAAATGCTCATTTTGAACTCTGAATGAGTCTGAGGAGCTCAGAGCATTTAGAGGTACAGTCACACTGCCCTGGAGAGGCAGTTACAGAGGAACTGAGGCTGAGAAAATGACTTCAAATCACATTTCTAATTGTATCACTCCAGTGCTAAGTCCAAGGGTTCTTACTTTTTTTTAAACAGTTTTAAAGTTGTCCATACAGATCATTTTCCCTCTTATTCTTAATATATATGTGCCTTGTACTAACCCATCATGCCAGCATGGGATTCTGCTTAATTTTTGTTATTAATTTATAATTTTTGGAGCATCCTTACTATACTGTCTTCTAAGGCACAGTTTTGAATGGAGGAAAAAGTCACAAGAGTAACTTCTAGCTTAAAGAACATATGTGGGAGATGGACTGATGTGCCTTGGCAACTTGATAAAAAGGACAACCAGTAAACGGATTGTATACATGCACAAGTCTTTTTAAAAAATGGCAAGGCCAGCTCCATGGCCCCCTAATCATCTGGTTCCCATCATAATGCCCCAATCCATTCTCCAGCCTCGAGGGCCTCTTCTCTTTCCATTAATAAACCCCAGGCACCAATGGCCAGTTTGTACCCATCTTCCCAATATGGCCAGTTGTCTCTCTTTGAGGAAATTCTGTATACTCGAGTCTCTTTTCTTCTGTGTCTTGAATTCAGTTGTTCTTTAGCTAGGAAACAGATTTCTTACAATTTAAAAAACTATCAGATGATAGTTATCCCAAGTATTGATCTTAGATTTTGAGAACTTTCTATATTTTTACTTAGAGTCAACCACACCATCCTGTTAAAACTTATAACCATAACTGAATGCATGTTCCTTACAGTTGAGATTTTAAAATGTATGTAAAACAGTCATTTTACCTCGGGCCAACTTGGCAGCTGAAAGAGCACTGCATTCAGGTCCTCTATGGCTGCTTTGAACTCTCCTAGACCAGCATAGGATTCAGCGCGGTAGATTTTTAGAGTCAAGTTGCTGGGCTCTGAAATAAATATTTTATAAAGGTTGATTGCTTTTAAAAGATTATTGTACAATCCACAAAATGCATCATACTAGATTTAATAACTGCTCTAGTGATGCTAGTCGATAGCCACCAAACCAAAGGTTGTGAGCCCAGCACAGTACAGGTGCAACCTACTTACATGTTGAATTTTATCTAGAAGTTTGATGAAATCACTGTAAGTAGACTATTTGGGTGGAGGAAATTACGGTTCTTAAGAACACTGGAAATATTTTCATAATATGAATAATCACCTCTAAGAAAAGAAATGTGTTGTGTGTGTGTGTTTTTTTAAATAGGGCATTCTATACAGATTTAAAAGACGTCTTGGATGTTTAGAAGATTTGCCTCTTTATGGTAAATTGTAATTATTTTATACCCTAGTTTCTAAATCCTTATTTATAAACAACTGTATGTGTCACTACTGCACATGGAATTTCCATAGTAACAAAGAGTGACCAAGGCTCTATCTCATGAGGTATAAAACAGTCCCTATTTGGGAGAAAATGGGTGATGATTACGAGATCAAAATTTTAATCCCTGCCTTAGCAAGAATGGTATTGAGCCATCCCAAAATAGATTTAATTTAAAATATTCCTGAGTGAAAAAAAAACTTTTTTTTAAATTTCACTGTCCTTTATGTCTCTATAGGAGAAACCAAATTAGTATCCAATGGCAATCAGAATTTCAGACACTTAGCTGGTTCACCCAATACAATAGTCAATGACTTCTGGTATATAGATTATGACAGAAGTCTAGCCCAGCCAGCATGGCTCAGTGGTTGAGTGTCATCCTATGAGCCAGAAAGGGGTTCGATTCCCAGTCAGGGCACATGCCAGGGTTGCGGGCTCGATCCCCAGTGTGGGACATGCAGGAGGCAGCGATCAATGATTCTCTCATCATTAATGTTTCTCTCACTCTCCCTTCCTCTCTGAAGACAATAAAAACATTTTTGAAAATATATTTTTACCAGTATTGACTTCAGAGAGAAAGGGAGAGAGAAAGAGAAGCATCAATGATGAGAGAGAATCACTGATCAGCTGCCTCCTACATGCCCCTTACTGGGGATGGAACCTGCAACCCAGGCATGTGGCCTTGACCGGAATCAAACCCGGAACCCTTCAGTCTGCAGGCCGACGCTCTATTCACGAAGCCAAACCAGCTAGGGCAAAACATATTTTTTAAATAAACTACCAGAAAACTCCTCATAGCTCCATGGTTTACTCATTTATTACAGAAAACTCTCGACAGAACAATTAGGCCTTTTCAATTGCTGGTGCTCGAGAAGTGGAATGATACTGTTCCCTCACATATACACCAATGAAAAACTTTAAAGAACAAAACTTATATTTCATGAAAATATTTCTTACTTCCTAAATAAAGGACATCTAGGGCATCTTGTCTTTTTTTTCTTACAGCAATGTAATTGGAAATCACTCCCTGACCAAAAGCACACAAAAGGATAGCTCACTGTGATTAATCAAGGATGAAAAGTTCTAGCACAAAGCTAGCCCCTGTAAGTGTTCAAAAGATTGTACTTTATCCCTGTCTTTGAGGAGCTTATTATCAAATTAGAAAAAATGGACTTTATTGTGAAACAGCGTCATGTAATCCTGATTTGACAAGCCCGGCTGGAGTTCAGAAAGTGGAGAGCAGCGTGCGCCAGAACAGTCCCAGAGAGGAGTAAATACACCAGCATCAAACCCCTGAGCTGGAAGAAAAACTGCGCCAGGACGTGCGCTTTCCGCCCACAGCTGGGGTGCTTCCAACGGCATCCTTGAGGCCCGCCTCCGCTCAGCACCAGAGAGGGACTTCACTGTGGCAACAAGCAGCCCGTTCCACTCCTGGATCCCTTACTGGGATTTTTTAAAAATGTCCTTTTTTTTTTCTTGTACAGCGAGTCCCCATCGCCTCATACTTAATGCACATTCAGAAGTAGTGAATATCACACCCGTTCTTCAATGCCTTCACTGCTCAGTTGTCACCAGGACAGCACTGGAGGAAGTGACTGAGAAGATCTGTCTTTGAGAAAATCCAGTCAACCTATCAAATTGCTCCACTCTGACCAAAGCAAAAAGACTGTCCCCTCTTCCCTCAACACAAAACACTCAGACTATGAGACTAAGAGATGACAAGAGGGCCAGATATTACAGCTCTTGCTCCCCAATTCTACACAGGTAATGTTTTATTGAGAACTTCAAATATTAGATGATTATATTGGGTGAATCTATTAGGGGAGAAAAGTATCAGCTGAGTTCAAATTCAATAATTTTTTAGATCAGGGCCACCTCTTCTTAATTCTAAAAAAAGAGCCAAATGCACTTACTGAGGCCCCTGACCAGCTGAAGCATATAACACATACTAATACTTAGTCCAGGGCACACTATAGCACAAGCAAGTGTTCTATTATGACTGCGTTCCTTCACCGTATGTGCATAGCATTAATTTTAAAATCTATTTTTGTGCTTTCTCCATCATTTCCTGACTTTGTATCCTCAAGTCCTGGCTTTCCTAAATGCTTACAAAAATAGGAGAAATTCATTAGAATCGGCCCACAATTCATGCTCTCATTTTCTCTTCTCCTGACCTAGACACAGTAATATTGTTAATCATTAGGCAAACAAAAAAATTGAACTGAAATTCTGCTACACACCTGAGGAAACTAGTCTTAGGTTGCTCAAGGCGTTCGTGGGCTGAGGACAGAGCTCTCCTGTCATGATTCCCTATCTTTTTCCAATCGGAGGAATATGTGTGGTTACTAATATGTCGTTTCCTTAGCTCATTTTCAAGAAACAAACTTTTTTTCCTAAGTATGTTATTGTTTACTTATAAAATTTGAAAAATATAGAAAATTAAGAATTAAAAATATTTTTCCCACCACAAAGAAATAACCAGTATTGGCATAGATTGAACCTGTACTTTTTCTGTGTTTATAGATTACATTTTTATGTAGTTTTATAAAATATACCACATATACTGTTTAAAGCCTGCTTTTTTGTCAATGTAATTAAGTCAACATGATTTTTAATGGTTGCAAAGTAGTCTACTATATACACAATCTTTTTTTAAATATATTTTATTGATTTTTTTACAGAGAGGAAGGGAGAGAGATAGTTAGAAACATCGATGAGAGAGAAACATCTATCAGCTGCCTCCTGCACAACCCCCAACTGGGGATGTGCCCGCAACCTAGGTACATGCCCTTGACCGGAACAAACCCGGGACCTTTCAGTCCACAGGCCGACGCTCTATCCACTGAGCCAAACCGGTTTCGGCTATATACACAATCTTAAAAATTCCCTGCTCTTCAATTTTTTACTTCCAATTTTTGCTAATATAAAAAGTAGTAGCATAAACACCTATCTATATGCCTTTTTATGTACTGCTTATTTCCTTAGCTGTTTTTATAAAGCTGAATGACAATGTAGAAGTTATGTAGCTATACAGAATTTTCAATATATTCTAGCCCTTTTAGAAAAACTTTACTTAGGTTACACTTCCACAAACTGTGTTTTTTGTTTCCTAGAAAAATACAAATGAAAAATAGCATTATTTTAACATGCATTTCTTTCTTCAGTGAGTTTGACCTTTAAAACTACATATTTACACATCCTTAGACTGCATGTGTAAGTGTAAAAATTCCTTGTTCATATCCTTTTTCTTGTTGTCTCATTTTTCTTTGACTTATTGAGCTATTTCACAAAGTTTAATGGCAAACCCAAATACCAAACTTCTTTGCTTCTTTTACTTTATCAAGTTCAGTATGGAGTACTTGGTTATCACAGTTAAACCAGAAGACATCAATTGACAAGTTATTAGTGTGACTGATTAATGAAGTCCAAGAATAGCAGTTTGGCATATTAAGATTATAACCAGGGGATTCAGAAGATCTGTGTTCAGATCCATTCTGGAAGTTTACCTAACTCTCGGAACCTCAGTCTCCTCACCTATAGAATGCTGGCGATACCTCCAACTTAAGACTGCTGTGAGGACTAAACAAGATAATGTGTGTAAACAGTTAAGACACTGTCACCCTAGCCGGTTTGGTCTGCGGACTGAAGAGTCCGGGTTCAATTCTGGTCAAGGGCACATACCTCGGTTACAGGCTCCTCCAAGGCCCAGGCCCTGGTCACACTCCTGCAGGAGGCAACCAATCAATGTGTTTCTCTCACATCAATATTTCTCTGTCTTTCCCTCTCTCTTCCACTCTCTCTAAAAATCAACGGAAAAATATCCTTAGGTGAGGATTAAAAAAACAAACAGTTAAGACACAAGTTAGCACACAAGTGCTCAATAAATAATAGTGATTGTTAAGTTAAGACACAGTCTAGCACACAAGTGCTCAATAAATAATAGTGATTGTTAATATTACAAAATATTTCAAAAGTTGTTAGAAAAATAAGATTAGCTTTTGATACAATGTTTCAAGCCCTTGGTAACATTATAAAATGTGTAAGTTTACTAATTAAATTCAAATCTTGCACTGTCCGGTTTTCTCAGTGGTTAGAGCATCGGCCCAAGCACTGAAGGGTCTCGGGTTTGATTCCCAATCAAGGGCACGTACCTGGGTCGCAGGTTCAATCTCCGGGCCTGGCCGGTGCAGGAGGCAACCAATTTATGTGCTCTCTCACATCAAGGTTTCTCTCCCTTCTTTCCCTCCCCTCCAACCTTCCCTCCTCCCTTCTACTTTCTCAGAAAAGCATTGGAGAAAGAAAAAAATACCCTCGGGTGAGGATTAACAAAAAACACACACCAAAGAACAAAAACTCAAATCTCTTCACATTAACCTCCTTGATTAAGATATTAAAACCCTTTACATGTTCTTTAAATGTATTCAGATAATTTGTCTAATCTTTGTTACCTAAAGCCTTGCAGTATCTATATTTTATTGATGTAGGCTAAAATGTTACCACGAATTAACATATGCAAGCCAGAATCAGGATTTAACCCTCACTCTGGTAATCTATTAATGTGGTAGAGAAAAGAACAAGATTGGCATCACAAGATTTAGATTT